CGCTAAGAGGTATTTCAATACCCTCAACTAATCGTGGGCTGAGGCGCGCACTGGTTTAATATTATTTTATTATTTTTTAATCTCGTCCTTCTTTTTTCTTTTCTCATCATTCCTTTTTTTTTTTCCCCACATTTTATATAAAAAGACTATTTATCCCTACACACACACCATAAAATTTCTCAAATTATTAACCCAATATGATTATACGCTACCTTGGTAATGATTGCTTATTACAAAACAACTCTTAAAAAGGGTTAACGAGGGTACTAAACTTTAAATTATTACATAAATAGTATATTAGACCTTAAACTTTTAAAATATTTAAAAATTCTTTTCAACTTCTAAATTTTTAATCTAATTTTTTAACGGTTAAGATGAGTGTCGCATGTGTGAGATTGAGCCCACGAGTGCAAAAAGTAACAACTATTTTTTTTAAACTTAATTGGTATATTTTTGCACATTTTAACAGTTTAGGGTTCAAGATATGTAATGCCATTCTCTGAGCATTACTAAACCCATGCACACATGCCAAACTTAAGTAATCAAAAGTCTTTAAGTTTTTGAACTATCAATTAATTATAATTGTTAAAATATAGAAAATTATTATAATTAGAAAATATGGATCCCAATAATCCCTTTTAAACATGGTTCATACCCTCAAACATATATATTCATACACAACATAAGAAATTATAATTAATAGAGAACACGAGGACAAAACTGTAATTTCAAGCAAACTGAGCAATATGTCATGGCATGTGCTACGGAACCTTTAATTTTGGTCCTATATCATGTGTCATGGCTATGATATTGAAACTCAGACCGGACCGGCCGGGTCAATCCGAAAATCGGTGACCCGATCCCTTGTTCGATCTGGGTTTACTTTTAAACCGATGAGGAAATGAACCGGTGTAAACCGGTCAACCGGTATAACCCGGTGGGTTGACTAGGTTAATCGGGTTATTTTTTTTAGAATTTTTTTTCATTTTTTATTTTTCAGAGTGCTGAATTCAGAAATAAGATAACAAAAAAAAAAGTGAAATTAAAGTCAAAAAATGAAAAATTAGAGGTAGAGCACGCTAAGTCCAATTCAGATTTTTAGACAGTATTTAGTCCGGCCTTTCATCCGTGTCTCTCCTCTCTTGCCCTAACCTAATCAGCATCTCTTCTCTAGCTTAGTCTTCGTCTCTTCTTCAGGCTCCAGCTCTATCTCTGTCTCTGCTATCTTCATCTCTTCTCTAGCTTAGTCTTTGACTCTTTCGTTTTCTCCAGCTCAATCTCCGTCTCTTCTCCAACTCTATCTCTCCATCTCTTCTTTAGACTTTTGAGATTGAAAAGTTGTAATTGTAATGATAGATATTTAAAATGTTATATTTTATGACTGTTAGACTTTTGAGTGGTTGGATTTAGTTGAATATTTTTATAATTAATGTCTTTTTATTAAATTATATTATTTTAATCATGACCGGTTTGCCACCGATTCAACCCCCGGTTCAACCCTAATTGAACCACTAACCTGTGACCCAGTGTCATGATCGGTTCAATGACCGGTCCGGTTTTACGTACCTTGGTCATGGTAGACATGATAGTTTTTCTACTGTCATAATAGAAATAATATTTAATTTCATTTTCATAATAAAAAATATTTGTTGATAAAAATCATATTTTATTAAAAATACAATATAAATAGTCATATAAATTATTTATTTTATTAAAATTATAATATAAATAATATGTTATAATCATATAAATTATTTTATTATATTATTAATTGAAAATAAAAATATAACATATGTATATATTTAGTAGTATATTATTCAACATATATGTATGAAGTTAATGTATATTTAATTTTGCATATGATGATTGTAGGTGCATTTCAATTCAACTAATAAATAAGAAGGGTATAAAACTTGGAAGATGGAAGGTCGAGGTTTAAGTTTTGATATTAGCATATTTTGTAACAAATAAATAACATGATATGATGTGACATGAGGTGGCGAATGATGTGTGGCATAGAAGGTGGTAACGTGATAGATGACATGGTACGACCTTACCCACACATGGTGAGTGACATAAAACTAAGTAGCAAGTGATGTGGCATAAGCAACATGCACATGTGGTGCCTGATATGGTGTGAGGTGTCGTGTGAGGTGGGATTAATTCATGTATATGTGGCAGCTGACATGGCGCAAGGTAGAAGGTGACACAGCATTAGTTGTAGCGTTTCTCATGATACATTATTATGAGAGATTAACAAATTTTTCTCAAAAATACTTTAAAAGAAAATCTCTCAAATTTACTGCACGTAAGAATTTCTCAAAGAAAATTCTTATAGAAAATTCTCACAGCATAATTATATGAGAGAAATTATCACACCATTTATGTGTGAGAAATTATCTCAGATTTAAATTGAAATAACTTCTCTTAGAATCATTCTGTGAGAATGTCTCACAATTTCAAAAGCCGTGTGAACTTCCTGTAGATAATGGTGTGAGAAATGATTCTCACGGTTTTATTCATGTGAAATATTTTTTTCTTCGACTGTTTTAGTGATGGATCTTTTAGAGTGAGAAATGATGTTCTCGCTAAATTTTGGGTGTTTTTTCACAAAAATATGCTATGAGAAAACCACTATTTTGATGTAATGGTTATTCATGTAATAGTTTAGGATTTAAGATGATCATTGATCCTTTAGAAAAACTTCATGTTTCATTTCATAAGTGAGAATAGTTAATATGTTTATCCCAAAAAATATGGCTAACAACCAAAATAAACAAACCCTATTAATTTGATTAATATTTTCTTTCTTTTTCTTGCTCACAGTTTTTCTCTTAGTAAAGACAATCTTGTTTGGAGCATGATTAGATATTAAATGTGAGCATTTTTTTCAACAAAAATTTAAATTCTTGTTCATTACATTACGAGGGACTAACTCTTTTTATTAGACCCAGTCCTCATTAGTAATTTGATTCATTTTCTATTAGTAGAGATAATTATATTCAATGAATATTATATTAAGAAAAATTGGAACGCCTTTGGCATATCAATTAATTGCCTTATTTTATGTGAGGTAGTTAAAGATTGTGCTAAGTTTGAAGTTCTATGTTCGTAGCAGGCGCCACTCCTTTGCCTTTACTCTCCATTTCCCTTCTTTTCTCTTTAACCATTACTATTAGATCAAAGCTTTTCAACTATTAGATTTAAATGTTGATAAAATTATGAGTATAAATTTACATAAAATATATAAATAAAACGTTATAGTTTTAAATTGTTTGGAACAACTTTTAATATAGTTCAAATTTAATTATATACTGTATGTAAAATTAAAATAATAATTGTATCAAATATTAAATTTTAACTATTAGAACTTTAATGTAATGGTAATAAAAAGAAAAGATGGGAAATGAAAAATAAAAGAAAAGCAGACGCTCTTCTGCCCACCATTAAACCCCATAATGGATTTTAATAATTACACCCTAATTTAATTTCTTTTTCAGATAATTTTGTTTTTTTACCCCCTTGTACGCGAAGAATAGTCAATCTATCACCATGGCCCACAAAATTCAACATCTAAGATTTTGTCCAAAATCAATATACATAGCGCGCGCGAGACCTAAGGTACGTGTGCGAGTGAGAATAATAGAAAGTGGCACGGCAAAATAAAGGGATTTTTTTTTATAAAAAAAGTAAAATAATTATGTATATTAAACAAAGAATTAAAAAATCACCTAGATGAATTAAGCTACACTTATTAACAAGTTGGATTTCTCATACGTACGGGTCAGTCACAACACATGCATCCACTCCAATAAAACCCTACCAATCAGTCACTGCATCACAATCATTCAGAAATGTGGACCCATATAGTAGGGTCCACAGTCTCATCACATTTTAAAATAATTTTAAATATAAAACATATAAATAAAAAAGTGAAGTATATGAAATCAATCACATTGATTATAACCTAAGGACAATATGGTACAAATTTATACCCTGTGCAAGGACTCAAGAGATGCAAGAGGTCCCATTAATTATGAAATTAATGGAGTTTTTTTACATAGCTGTATGATTGAGTCAAACTCAAGTATTATTGGGCTCAATTAAAAATTTTTTTTCAAATATATTTTATACATTCACACAAATTCAAATTAGATACCTCATATATAAGCGGACAGTGGTCGTAGACCCTTTTATTATGATCAACCCTTGTTGGTAAACTAATTAAAGTTCTATATGTCTATATGAGTATAACATTTTTCCAAGGAACATTTTTTTGGATGAAATACTAAGAATATTTTTTGATGATAGTATAAGAAAATTAGAAAAAAAATCACAGAAAAATCCCATTGAAATGTGCAAATAACAATGAAGCCCAGCAAAATGTGGTAATTATTCTCAAGTTTCTTGGGACCTTCCTGACATTAATATGTTTTGTGAATGGCCATAATGCTCCCAATTTAAAATATAAGTTATTACATCAACAATAGTCGGTTTAGTTTGTAAAAATTTGACTCATATCTTACAATCTTCAAATATTACTGCTCATATGAAAATCTTGTTAACAAGTGATTTATAAATATTTTTGTAATGTTATTTGAATTTAAAAACACACATTATTTTTTGTAAATCTTCGAAACTCAACTCACTTAAATTTTTACTTATAAAAAAAGTATTAATGACTACTTGAATTTAAATAATTTTATATCAACAAAGTAATTTTCTATTTTTTATATGCACACATATTTTTTATTAAAAATAATCATATTTAAAACATGATTAAGTACTAAATTCTTAAACTGTAATTCAAATTTCAAACCTTGATAATTTTCTGTTCTTTATATATATATATATATATATAACAAATTTTCTGTTCTTATTGTATACAACCATGACACAGTTTACTATCTCCCAACCTCCCAATACTTTTTGAACCCAAACACACAAACAACACTTGTTTTCTTCCTTCTCTTTCATCTGCTTCAAATATGTCTTTTGACTTGGCACCTTTTCTCCCACACGCAAATATCTGCCCTCTGTCCTCTCTCTCTCTCTCTCTCTCTCATTCTTCACCTGTTCACCATATCCTTCCCCCACACCCACCACCACTCGTCGCCTCCGTCCTCCGCCATGGGCCTACCGCCTCATCGCCGTCTTCTCCGTTGCAACCACCACCACCACCACCAACACAGCAACCGCCTGCCAACAACCTTCACGGCGTTCACTTTTCTCTTATTCTCCTCTGCTTCTGCCCTAACCCTCCCTCCACTTCCAAGTAAGTCTTCCCTAAGTACTTGTCTATATCTTAAATCTTCACAGTGCATAGTAAATATTCCATGAGTTCATCTCTTTACTCTTTAACGTTAATTAATGACCACAAAAGCACTGTTCATTTCACTTGACCTATACTAAACTTCTTACAAATTAATTATTATAATATGGTTTGAATCTTCTTACACATGTGCGCACGTTAGTTAATCTTTTTACCACCTAATTAATTACCTATCAAATTAAATGAACTAAGAATTTAATTTTTAACGATATTAGTTATTTTTTGTTTTCAAAATTTTAGCTGTTAGTCTGTGACCTAATGTTGTTAGAATTTCCTTCATTTATTATTATTATTATTATTTTTGGAATGCTGATCAGGTAGGGGAGGTTTCAAGCAGCCCTACTTTCAGAGGGAGGAGATTAATGGGTCGTGGACGGCGGCAACGGTAGCGGCGGCTGATCAGAAGAGAAACGGCGGGCCAGGGTCGTTTCCGCCGTCGTGTAGATCCAAGTGCGGCTGGTGCGCCGCCTGTGAACCGGTTCACGTGCCGATCCATCCCGGTCTGAGCAAGCCGCTCGAGTACTATCCAGAAGCTTGGCGTTGCAAATGCGGGAACAAGCTCTTCATGCCTTAATATTTAGATCTGATGAATTTAACAAACCTCCGGAATCTCAAGAACAGAACAAGAACAAGTCAAATTATTATTATTCTTATTACTGTTGTATGTTGCAGAAAATTCAAACAATTCTGCATTTTGGTCTCCCAAACATGATCTTATCGTATCTGATATATTTCGATCTTGACACAGCGACGACGAGACACTAGAAGAAGTAGATGTGAATTATGTTATTGCCATTTTGTCACTGTCTCGTATGTGAATCAGTGAAAGTTGGTAATGATTGTGTATTATTAGTTGATTACTAGGTTTATTTTAGAGTATTGATCTTTTTGGTTCTCTGTGAGAAGGCACGACAGAAGGAAACGTTGGGAATGTAAGATTCTGATGAGTGAGATTATCGAGAGGGATATCTTAAACAACCCTTTTTCACTGTCTGTTGTCTTGTGGATAAAAATTTCCATTTTTGTTTTATAATCAATCACCACATAAATATATAAGAATTATTTTAATAGGTTTTTTTTTCTAATGTTGTATGGAGATTGAGAAATGAGTTTGTTAATGGTTCATGAGCTTGTGAGAAAGCGAGATTATTAGGTTATTAAATGTAAGTTGATCTAAATATATGTGAGAAGTTCATACTAGATAAAGCTGATCTTCATAATTAATATTAATAAAAAAATTCATCAATTTGAGTTTCAAGTTTTGAATTAAGATGCTTTGTTATCATTATGGTATATATGCTTTTTCTTCTTCTTCACAAAAATGATTTTGCAATTTTTGCAATTACTTTCACTAATTTTGATCAAACTAATGACCTAGTGAACAATATAATCTTAAAAAAAAAATCTATTACTATACTTTTATTTTTCTATACCAGGAAAAACTAATTCTTTAAACTATACTGGTTAATTTACAATAGTAGTAATTGAAAGTATAAAAACTCTTAGGGTCTGTTGATTCGAGGGAGAGAATGGGAGGGGGAGGGGAGGGGAGGGAAAATTTTAAAAATTTCCCCTCCCTCCTCCTAACCAAATGAGGGAGGGAAGAGGAGCCCCTCCCCTCCCCTCCCCTCCCCCCAAACAAACGGGGCCTTGGTTTGTAAATTAATACCATCAATCAATAGATACTATTTTACTAGATATAAAATATAATACTAACAGCGAGAAGAATTGACATGACTTTGGTGACCTTGGCTTGCTCCTCTAAGGACAGGTCCAAAATCTGGACTGCCTAGATTAAGTTTAGGGACAGTTTAGATTTAATATTTTATTTTTTATTTTTATTAAAATAAAAAATTATAAAATATTAATAAAATTGACTATCAATTTAGAGAGTCTAAATTAATATTAATGATTTTAAATTAATGTGTAAATTTAATATGAATAGTTCATATTTAACATTCAAAATTTTTAAAAATTGACACTTTAGATATCCCCTAGAATCTGGACAATGCAGATATTCACTGACAAATATTTTTGAATTTTTTCAAAAGAATTACAAGTTAAATATATTACATTTAAACTATAAATTTGAATAGTAAATTTATAAAAAAATTTAAATATTAAATTGGATCATCATTAAATTAAAACTAGATTGTTCAAATTAGTAAAAATTGGTAATCAGATTTATTAAAATATTTTATAATTTTTTGTTTAACAAAAATAAAAAATAAAATATTAAATCTGGATTATTCCTAAATATAATTTGAACGGTCCAGATTTTGGACCTGCAGCGAACGCTCCTCCTACGAGGAGCAAAGCGGATTCCGACTTAGGTTTCCTCTTCCAACAGCACTAAACGTATTTACAGGTTGTGTCTTATGTAGCGTGGGAAACAGTGAATGAATTGAAGAAGCTAGAGGCAGGTCATATCAAAGGCTTGAAAATTCTTATGCATTTTGATCTTGATAGTTCATTGTACTGATTTGAATTGCTACACACAATGTGCTCCGTCACTGTTTTCTTGGGGCATCAACCATCAATCAACTGTGTGAATAATTATTCCAAGAATAAATTTAGATCTTAAAGTATTGAAAGTAACGAGAGTTAGATAATCCATAATTTTTTTTTAAAAAAAACATGAGTTACAAAAAAAAGTATAGATTTAATTAAACAATTACAGATATAAATTGCAGTTTCAATTTGCAAATATATACTTTATATGTAATTAAAAATTTTAAATTTACAAATGTCTAAATCAATATTTTTAATTTATTTTTTATCATAAATCTGATTAATTATCATTAATTCAATTTTTTTGAGATATAATTATAATATCAATAATATAAGTGAAGTGTGGGTATTATAAATAAATTGTTGTTTGGTTCTGCTGGGAATTATTATTGCAACCATATGATATGTTCCCTTTATCTCCGTGCTGTCTCCTTCACAAGGACCTAAAAAAAAAAAATCAAAACCATGGATATAAAAAAGAAATCTTTTAAATATATGAGACAATTCAACAATAGTCTCCAATTCTCTCACGTTGCCCAATTAAATAATTTAATTTTATTAAGTATAAATATATTTCAGTTAATCTCTGTAAGATTGAATTGGAGTGGCTGATAACTATTATAATACTTGGTCAAATTTTCATAGATGGAATTTACAGAGAAAATAAGGACAATACTATTGGACAATGGCAGGCTCCACTGCAGTGTGAGAAAAAAAAAACCCAGAAAGGAAGAGAGTACATTTGTTTGTTGCTTTGTTTTCTTTTGTTCTTTTTTTTTTTTTTTTCTCCCTTTACAGCTTGCCACTTCCTCTGTGCTCTTTCTTGCAGGTTTGGATTGCCCATTTATTGGTCAATTATTAATATCAATATAAAAATATAAAATATAAATATAAATAATAAACCATACATATCATGATAAACAAAGAAATATATAATTTAATTTATTTCTCAAAAAGTTGTTTTGATTCCTGCGAAGTAACTTGCCAAGAAGTTAATTTATAGCCACTTTTTTATTTTATTTTTTTTAATTCCCACGAAATCCAAATATTTTTAAATAAATTATTTTTATAATGAAAATAAAAATGTAGTTTTAATTAATTTTTATTTTATAATTGTTAAGAGCAAACTTGAAAATATACAATAAGTAGTCGCTTGATTCAGTTTGTAAACTTTTCTAGCTATTTTTTAAATATAGTATTTTTTATGATAAAAAATTATCTTTTCAATTGAATTTTATTTTACAATTTTAAAGATAAATTTGAAAATATACTATGAATACAGGAAATTAGTAATAGAATTTACGTAGGTTTTGTTTCAATAGTAAGTTATCTTCCCAGTTACGAGAAATAAATTTATAATTCATGCTATCAATTTTTTATCATAAAATTTTCTTATTTTGGTGGAGAAAAAGGATGTATTAAATATATTTATTTATTTAATAGAGCTAAAGTTAAAAATTGATTAAATTTTTTAAATAAAGTTACTCGATTTAAATATTTTCTTTATGATAAAATATGTTAGAAGTGAATTATAAATAAGACAAAAATAAGTAAGGATAAAATGCAAATCGGTCCCTAAATTATAAATCCAAGGACATCTAAACCCTTAAATTTTTTTTTTGTTGCAATTTTTTTTTTTAACTTTTGATAGTGGTACAATTTAGTTCCTAACATTAACAAAAGCTAAATTTAACTGTTAATTAATTTAAAAATAATTTCAAAAATTAGATTAAAGAACAATAATTATAATAAAGAATCCAAAAATTACATAAAATGGCCAAGAAATTTTTATTGATCTTTTTTTATAATTATTTTTGAGATAATTTTTGATCAATTAATGTTTAAAATTAATTTTATTAGAATGAGGGCCAGATTATACTATTTTTTAAAAATTAAATAAAAATATTATATCAAAAATAAATTTAAGAATTCACATACTTTTAAACCTATGATTTAAGACCATCACGTGTGTTAGATTATATTTTAGTTTTTTTCTTTATACAGAATTCAGATAACTTTTTTACCTTTAAAGATATAGCTTTTGTACCTCAGGTGTCACACAATAATGCACCCCTAGTCTTTTGGCAGGCCTCATCATTCGATGAAAAACTTCAACTTACACTGCAAATCGTTCAAGTTTTAAATAGGAAAACCTAATTAATTGAATTTAATATTGAGCTCCTTACACACCACTCAGCTCACGCGAGAGAGAGAGAGAGAGAGAGTCTATCAGATTTTACTTGAAGAATTGACCCGTCGCTACTTATTTAAGATTGACCAAGCTGCACCTAAAACATTTTTTAGCCAAAAGAAATTATAAAATAAGATACAAATTATTGAAGCCATAAAAGAATTCAATATATTCTAATGGAAGAGGTTATGCTTTATTAAATATGAGGTGTTAAGATTGAATATGTACGAATATAAAATATCTTTAAGAGAG